GAAGGCAGCTTTAAATGATATGAGAGGCACAGAAACGAAAAGATCAAAGGTGTGTTGGTCGGTATGCTGCTGCTGTATGTGGACCCATAGCTATGGTTATGACAACAGCTGTTAATGGACCACTGAATGGGCTGACAACATCCGTGTTGGCTGGTGCACCTGCGTGGATGTGATGTGTTGCTGGCCACGCTGTGAATGAGCCAGTCATTGTGAAGAATCAGCCAATACCAGCACATCTTCAGTGCTGAGCTTGCTTCATTCAGTAAATGGGGTTAATGAGTAACAATATGAGTGACAGGAATGTTGCACAAATGCTTAAATAAAAGCCATTTGATACATAAAAGATCACTAGTGAAGCCGCTTGAGGCAGACAATAATGTCTGGTTTGTGCCTGAAGCAGATCTTTCTGACTGAATTACTGCAAGACAGTTGATAAAACACTGTGGGAGTACAGCCTCCTTTTTTCCAGTGAAACCAGTGGACGTCAGTAGCAAAAGGGAAACAAACAGTGGTGTCCTGTTTCAAAGTCAGACAGTTTGTCCTCCTGAGGACTTTATGGCTCTATAACAATGTACCACAAGACGAAATTAAATGTTGTTTTTGGACATTTGCTGAAAGAGTTGATGCTGTTTTTTCTTGGGAGAACAAGGTTGCAGTTTCTCCAGACAAATTCTTTGTCTCAGAGAATCCAAGATTTTAGGACAGTTTATATTGTGTGGCTATGGTTAATTTAACTTTTTTTTTTAAAGAAAGAGAATTGTTAAAATAGAAAGTGTTAGTGATGCTTGGGGCTGCTCCCTATTGAATCACTCATTTTACAGATTCAGCCAGATCCAATTACGCCCTCTGCAGCTTTTGCTCCTTTGATTTCTATGTGTTTTTCCCTATCAGCAGCTGATTTTCTCTTTTATAAAGATGCAGTGTGTTCATAATTCCCATGAATATATACTTGACTTAATGGAGCATTGAAAATTAATTTGGGCTCTGAAGGCTCCTTAGGTAAGCTTTATACAACGCTGGTGCAACAGCATGTCTGCTGCATAATAGGCTTGTTTCCTGGATCTAAATGAGCTTTACAAGCAGGCAGAGGAAAGAAAAGAAAAACTGAGTAAACAAAGAGCATGAGGGAATTGAATTCAGTCTGCAGTTTGTGTTCATTAAAGGTTTTCACACTGAGATGATCAATGAAGAAGAGACAACAAGACACTCCTCCCAGAACGTATTTGTTATGCTCTTTAAATGTTTTCAGTTGGGATTTTAGAAAACATTTTAACAATAAGAAAAATATGATAAAGGCAGAAAACGCTGACATAGTGATGGTGATATTTCACCGAGTTAATCTGATGTTTTGATGTAATATGAATTAACAGACCTCATCTCTCTTCAAAATAAGTCTCTGCATCATCACCATCACTGAGCTGTGACTGATGAATTTCACTCAGCAGCTGTTGGAGTTGATGGTTTCCATCTTTCTGCAGCGGCACTGATTCTCAGTCATTATTTTTTATTATGGAAAATACTAAATGGAGAAAAATCGAATTTTTACTTTTTTACCAAGGTAGGCAGATCTTGAGCACATTGAACACTGTGAGAGACTGATCAAATGAAGAAAGGTCAAAATCAGAGCAGTTCAACACATCCTGACTTTTTGTTTGAGCCAAGCTTCAAAAACACTGGATTCTACATTTCCCATAATGCAGCTGGATGATGGACAGTCTTTCATTAGAGCCTTTGTGCCTGTTAAACAGCCAACTCCACACATTTAAAATGATCTATAAGTGCATTGTGGTGTTTGCTGTATCTTGTTATACACAGAAATACAGGTTAAGTGTTCATCAGAGCGACAGCCTGGGGGAAGAAACTGTCCCTGTGCCTGGTTGTCTTAGTGCACAGTGACCTGTAACGCTGTCCAGAGGGGAGGAGTTCAAACAGATTGTGTCCTGGGTGTGAGGGGTCTGCAGTGATCCTCTCTGCCCTCCTTTTGACCCGTGAGGTGTACAGGTCCTCCATGGAGGGCAGGCTCACACCAATGACCTTTTCTGCAGTCCTGACTGTCCACTGAAGTCTGTACTTGTCCTGTTTGGTTGCTGAGCCAAACCAGACAGTGATGGAGGTGCAGAGAACAGACTCGATGATTCCTCTGTAGAACTGTATCAGCAGCTCCTGGGGCAGGTCGAACTTCCTGAGCTGGCGCAGGAAGTACATCCTCTGCTGTGCCTTCTTGATGATGGTCCTGATGTTGGACGACCACTTCAGGTCCTGGGAGATAGTGGAGCCCAGGAACTTGTAGGACTTTACTGCTGATACAGTGCTGCCAAGTATGATGAGGGGGGTAAGGTGGGAGGGCTCTTCCTGAGGTCCACTGTCATCTCCACTGTTCAGCTCCGGGTTGTTGCGACCACAGGACCAGCTGCTCAACCTCCCGTCTGTAGGCCAACTCGTCACGTCCCAGATGAGACCGATGACCGTTGTGTCATCTGCGAACTTCAGGAGTTTAACAGAGGGGCCTCCAGAGATGCAGTTGTTTGTGTAGATGGAGAACAGCAGCAGGGAGAACATGCATCCCTGGGGGGCACTTGTGCTTACTGTCTGGGGACTGGATGTGGTTTCTGCTGCTTCCTGTCTGTCAGAAAGCTGGTCATCCACTGACAGGTGGGGGCAGGCACAGTGAGCTGGGTCAGTTTGTAATGGTGGATGTCCGGGACGATGGTGTTGAACGCTGAGCTGAAGTCCACAAAGAGGGCCCGTGCATAGGTCCCTGGGGAGTCGAGGTGTTGCAGGATGTAATGCAGTGCCATGTTCACTGCATCATCCACTGACCTGTTTGCCACTGACCTGAATAATGATGTGTTATTATAGGTTAAGATAATAAAAAAGGTGTATAAAATAATTAAAATCTGCTCCACCTGCACAATGCACCACTTTACCTTTGGTACTTTAAATATTTTTTGCTGATTATACTTAACATTTTGACTGCAGGACTTTTACTTGTAACACAGTATTTCTACACTGTGGTATTACTACTTTTACTTAAGAACTTCGACCACTGGCACGGTCATGGGTGTCGGGGGCCAGGAAATCACAAAGTGCCTAAATGGTTTCACTAGCTGGGACCTTGCCCTGGACTGGATGAGGGCAATGTATGGATTATGAGTGGATAGTGTTATCAGTCATATCTCTTTGTGGTTTGGGGAAAGCTTTGGGAATCTGCACCGTTCTCAAACTGGCAGATCCTCAATGGGAGAAAGAAGGAATGAGAGAGGAGAGAAGGGAAGAAAGGTTGGGGCGCATGGGATTTGAAAAGCAGATGAAGATAGTAATGGGTGGTATTTATGTTATTGAGGAGCAAGAGGTGTGTTGGGCAGGTCCAGCTCCTAAACCTCAGATTCAATATCTCCTTTTATTGTACTAAGGTTGTTCTTATGGTGTTTTGTTGCTGCTCTCTATTGCTGCTGGAACACAGGAATTTCCCCATTGTGGGATCAATAAAGTCCTACCTTACGTTACCTTGTGTTACATCTGCATTGGTGTGTAGATGCTCTGATACCCAGACAGAATCAGTAACAATGGTTGTATCGTTTCCTTCCTTTTCACTGTACCAGTCTTTATATGTCTGGATCAAAAGATGTTTGCCTGAAAACGCATCAAATCCGAGAAGTAGATACCAAATCTTTGGCATTTTTACTTAAAAAATGATTTGATAAGTAAAATAAATGCTAATTAATTTTCTGTTGATCAGCTAATTGATTGAATGACAGCTCAAAACTCCAAAGTGTCCTCTTCACATTAAGTTGCAAAGTGCTGAGGTTATTAATGCTGCTGCTCTGCTGCAGAGCATCTCACTGAGGGATGAAGTCATTACAGAAACCTGTGAAGTGCACAGACCAGCCCTGACACCAGAAACCATCACACAGGAGCAATATCGACGCTTCGGAGGGTCTGATTGTTTTATTCCTCTCCTCTTTGAGTTAAAAGCTGCGTCGATCACCGAGCACTTTTGATTCTGTTTCTGCAGGTCAAAGATAAACTGGACTCTGAGCTTCATGTGGTTCAGATGCAGAGGATTATAAAAACACACACATCACTGCACTGAAAGCTTTGTTCTAAGATTAATGTTATCCATCGCTGCTGTAAATGTGACATACAGCTTTGTCTGAAATGATGAAATACAATTATTATATCAGTATTTTTGTTTTTTGCTTGTTATAGACTGTTTATGTAATTTATTGCTGTTTGTTTCTTAATAAGTTTACTTACAGTATAATGGTATTTTCTCCTTACTCTCGAAACAAGTGATTGACTGACAGAAAATTCATTACCAACTTTTGAAAATTGACTAGTTGTTTAAAGTTTTAATAAACTGATTTAACAATTTCCTGGTGTCATTTCTCACTGACCTGCTATCTGTTTCATACCAGTCAGCTGAACATGTTGTTTGGTCAACTTGGGGAAACTACATCAGGGCATTTTTCAATATTTTGGGTATTTCACTGAATAAACTATTAACCAGTCAATCTAAAAATAACCATCAATCCTTAATGAAAATTGTCATTTTAATTTATTTAGTGTGTGTGTGTGGGATGGCTCAGTATTTCCTCTCTTATCTTTCTCTAGTCATGATTCTTCCACTAAAACCCAGCGGGGACTCGCTGGAGCTCAGCCGCCCCCCGAGCGCCTCAGCCAGGCCACAAAGTCCGGCCCGGTGCGGCCCAAACCCAGAGCTGGTGTTACAGTTCTACAGCTGCTCTATACCTCCCGCCTTTTAGCACCACATCGTCCACTGCTGCGCACACGCACAGGGTGGCAGGTGCGCAAAACACGCACCATATGCACGCATGTGAACCGTGTCAGTCCACAAGATACGAAAATGATCTAAAGAACATCGTATTATTTGTCATTTTAAGGCTCATTCGGTGACCTGTTGAGGGATTCTGGACACTCAGTTTCACCCACACACGCACGCACACACGCACACACCGTGAAGTCTGTGAGAACCATACCTTCCCTCAGAATCTGGTTGTGGAGGAGCAGGAGAAGCAGAAAGCAGACCGCAGCGGCAGTCAGAGCCCAGGCCAGACGGAGGAGCTGCATGAGGAAGAGCCGCTTGGGGAGCCAAAAAGTCCAAACTGTGATTATCCGCAGGTTGGTGCCTCCTCACGACGCCACATCCATCCCAATCCCACAGAGAGGAGGACAGAGGCGGGACACGAGTGGCATCTCCGGAACAAGAAAACCACAAGCGAGCCTGACGTGGCAAATCCAAAATGGGAGAGGATTTAGGCAGCAAGAGGTTTGCTTTCCCTCCGCAGACTTTCGTGGGTGAAGCTGCCGGGGTTCGCGCCACGCTCCCCGGTGCGTCACGGTGCGCAGCGGCGACCGGCCGGCGCAGCAACAGG